GTTTTCCTTTATTTCTCTACTAAATGCAGGAGAGGAAACTAAGGAACATTAGAGATAGTAACTTGGTAAAGGTATATTCATTAATAGGCGGAGTAAACCCTCATTTTATCATATTCACTCAAATGAGATATTTAAGAATCTTTTGCTTCCAAAATAAAGTCTGTTTTTAAAGTGCTGCATTACTCTCTGTAACTTTAGAATTTTGCATGTATTTTTGACAAGTGTCTTAAAATTTCCAAACTTGTTATTGATGATATAATACTGAATTTAAGTAACTCAATTTATTAAAGCTTGGGGTTTTTTTAGCAGTGTTTATTAAAGTCGACTTGACTTTATAGAGAGCAAAAAGTTTTCAAAAACATTTAAAAATAGTTTATATTATATATTTTTAAGCCCCAGTTTATTAATATTCCCCGTAGGGAATCATAATGATGATAGTGGAATAGCCACGCCAATATCGTGCATGTTGTACAGTCACACGACTGTTCTTAGTGTCCCAGATGTGAGTAGACCACCCCCTCCCACCCTGTTTCTCAGCAGAGTAACAAGTAAAATGCAGCCGTTGTCTTTGCCTGGAGAAATCAAATCGCCACTACCACCAAGTATAGTAATGTAATTGAAAGATATTTTAATTGGTAGAAACGCACTTTTGAAAAGCAAAACAAAAGTGAAAATCAAATTAAAATGACAAACCAAAAACCAGGGTCAAAGATGGATGTAATTATCATTTTAAAGTTGTCTTATTCTTACTGTCACTGAATGAATAAGCATTTATTTAGAGATTGAGCATTTTGTCATATTTTATTGTCTAACTTTGAACTGAAATTTACAGTATATGATTCTTTTTTTAAAAGTTTAGTAAGTTTGAATTGCAGAAAGTAAGAATTACCAAAATCAGTGAAATCTGTTTCTTACCTTCACTGTTGTGATGATCCCAATATGTAGAGTATTGTGAGTAGAATGAAGTCTTATGGGCGTTTAGCTGGAAAGTTTTCTCTGTTACCAGATTTATGGGAACAATTGAAGTAGGTGGAGGAGAAAAAGTGTTTTAGGGAGGTCTTATGATGTCACACAGGAATTCTGCAGTTAGGATTGGTTAGCCCTAGTCTTAATCACACCCAAACTTTTTAGAATGTCATTTATCTTACATTAGGTGTGGAAAGGTCATTAACACTTTGTGCCTCATTTTCTTGTTTTTAATTTTAAAAGTATGTGATAGATAAATGAAAAAAATAAGTTTCGGGTGGAAAAAGCTCTTTTTAAAGACTCATGCAGCTTTTGGGCTTAGAAAAGATTGTATACTGATAGTGATAATGTTGAAGAACTAAAATACTTATAGTAATAGGAATTTTAATAGAGTGAGAATAATAATACTGGCTTAAGCCAAACCCCTTTTATTGAATTGCTGCTGCTGCTCCTGCTGTTGCTTTAATTCTTCAGCTTCATAGTGTTAACTTCTAGCAAGACAATAAACATTTTCACAGAAAACAAATTTTATACCTTTTCCTGTTTTATTTTACATTCTTTCCTCATACCTATGTGTGTGAGAAAGCCATGCTAATAACTAATTTGGTTTTAAAAAATTAGCTTTTTCTTATGGTTAAAGTAAGAACTAATAAATGTATTTAATACATTTGTGTTTTCTTTAACAATATATTTATAAACAGTAATTCTCATACTGTGTCACCCCAAGAAAAGTTGTAAGATTTACAATTTAAGTATTTAGGATTTTATAATAGCTGCATTAAATTACCATAAAGTACTACTAAAATTTTAATAAGTTGACACAGAATCAAGAGTAACATTCTAGCAAAAGAGAATCACAAATTCCTAATCAGTAGCACCCTAGTTAGATACTTTATTGGCAGTAGGTGTGTATGTGTTGGAAATTTTATTTCTAATAGGAAGGGCCTCATTTAATGTAGCAGTTTTCCTGAAAATAACTGTATAAATGAAATTTTAGTAAATAGAATGACATTTTGAACTTTTTAGGACAGTTTATCTTAAGGTAGAAGTGGGAAAATAATTCTTTTGAAAAACCAGGTGTGATTTCTGTTTTATTCTAATTTTTGTTTATATATTAGATTTACTTAAATAACCAGACCTGCAAAGTCTAATTTTTAGATCTCTTCTGTAATTCTGGGAAAGCTATTTGTTAATATTAATTTTTTTATGCTTATAGCAGAGTGAACTCAGCCCGCTTTCTCATGGGTAACTAAAATGTGTTGCAGTGGCTGCTGTGTGTCCTTAAATGGAGATGATTTTGGCTTCTCCCAAAGAAAGATAAAATCATTCTCTAGAGCAATTCTCTCATTATTTAAAGAATCAGCTAAAACTAACAGAAAAATGATATTTCCTCAAAGATCCTCTGTGAACATTGCTAAGGGAACATTTACAACTTAAAAATTAAAACCCAGTATGAAAAATATTGTGTGAATAATGTTTGACATTTGCTCAGTGCTCTACAAGCATGTTTTTCTTTCAATCCTTTCATAATAAAAATCTCTTATCAGTTGCCAGTGATGACTGAAATACAAAACGTAGGCTTCAAATACAAGCATAAAGTGGTTTACAGTTATTTGTCAAAGATGACACATCTGCTGAGAGACTGAGGATTCAAATCCAGATGTTGAGTTTATAATTCACTGACAGATTGGCATGTTTGGGGGGAAAATCAAAATTTGAATATAGATTTTATAGAGTAGCATACATCGACTAAGAAATTTTGATGACGATAGATGAATTGTTGAAAACTTTTATTTTTAGAGTCTGCTTTAAGTTTGCCTGCCAGATATATACATTCATTTGAAAATGAAGCTTAGGGATAGATCATTGTAGTATAAGCACGTCTAGTTCTAAGAAAGAGAATTCATAGTACTTACTTGGATAAACTAAGAAACTGCCATGGACTGAATAAAATATACCATAGATAGCTTACATGTTGCTGTATTTGCTTTAAAAGATACATAGGTGTGCACTCACATGCATACGCACGCACCTTAGGATGCTGATTGTGTGGGTCAGAGCTGGTAAATGGAGACAAATTTTCTTTTCAGGTTTGTACAAAGTGGGAAGCTTCTGTGCTTATCCTTTCCCTTTTGGTTCGCTGCGGCTCATTATTATTAGTCCAAACGGAGCTCTAGGAAGTGGTACATTTTCGTTTTAGCCTGATTCAGCCTAAACAGAAAGTTGTTTAATAAATAGGAGCATTGGTATAATCAGTAGAGTATTCCTCAGAAATTCTACAACTAGGGGCTGGAAATTGGTTTTAGAGGTGCCTTGTCAGAATATTCATTTGGAGTGAGACTATATAATTTGAACCCATTTGTGGTCACGTGATCATAATGCAGCTTCCATAAGCTGCCCTATCTGTGGAATGGGTTTGTTGTGAGGGTTTAATGAGAATGAAGTATGTGTAATGACTATTAGATTCTGCAACACAGAATCTGCAACACAGTGTCCATTCAGTGTTAGTACTTTTTTCTCTATATTTCTTTAGAAGATGATTCTTAACCTGCAGTCCATGGGTAGAGTTCAATGATCTTTGAACTTGGGTAGGAAAGATTACATCTTCATTTTTACTTAACTCCACATGATATTTAGCACTTCAGTTTTGACTGGAGACCACAAATTGCAGAATGTTAATAGTGCATTTGATGTCGCAACAGCAATCTCAGATAATTTCATAGCTTGAAATACTCTATATATTCATCACTACTTTGCAATTATTATAATTAGACCTGCCTGTAAATATTGTAATTTAATGTATTAAAGAAGCACAAGTATTACATCACACATTTGTTGTTGTTTTTTAAAAAAAGTTATTTTAGTGTAATTTATTTTCTTTCTAGTCCTATGCATCTTTTATTTGTTTATTTATTTTGGCTAGGTACAGTGAACTTTACTGATGGTGCATGACAAGGTCCTCTTCAAGGGACATCTTATTTTTTTAGAACAGTTCTAAATTTACAAAATTATTGCAAATATAGTACAGAGGGTTTTTGTATACCCCACACACCATAGCCTCTATTGTTAACATTCTACATTAGTATGGTAAATATGTCACAAGTGTTGTACCAAGATACATTATTTTAGCTAATACCCATACTTTACTCAGATTCCTCAGTTTTCTGTAGTGTCCTTTTTCTTACCCAGGATCCTATCCAGGACACCAGATTACATTTAGAAGTTATGCCTCCTTTGGTCCTGTTGGTTGTGATAGTTTCTCAGACTTTCCTTTTTTGATGACCCCAACCATTTTGAAGAGTGCGGGTCAGATATTTTGTAGAATGTTCCCCAGCTAGGATTTGTCTGATATTTTTCTCATGGTTAGACTGGTTAGTGTTTGGTTTTTTTTGAGAGGAAAGTTAAAGAGGTAAAGTGCCATTTTCATCACATATCAAGTTCACATGGTATAAACACATACTGTTTCCATTGTTGCTGTTAAACTTTGGTCACCTGGCTGAAGTGTAATGTCCGTCAGGTTTCTCCATTGTAGTTACTCCCCCCCCTTCCTTACTGTACTCTCCAGAAGAAGTCATTTTGCACAGCCCACACTTATGCTTCGCTACCTTTGCAGTGGAATATCTATAAAAATTATTTGGAGTCCTCTGTATTTTATGCATATAAAAACATCTTGAGAACAGAGCAGTAGGCTTTAGCAGCCTGCCAGATAAGTCCATGGCACGAAAAGTTGAGAATTCCTGTGTTAGAGGATGTTTCTGTAGCTGTATGGAGCAGCCCTTTTTTGAAAGGGGACTGAGTTCTCAGCAGGCCTTTTTAGGCCCCTTTGATAGGGGACTGAGTTTCTCAGCAGGCCTTTTTAGGCCCCGTCTTTCTAGCTTCATCTCTTATCACATTCCTTTGTATTCTGTGCTCTGGCCTTGTGCAGCTGCCCATGACTCTCTGAACAGGCTATTGTTCTATTTTAAGCCTTCCTACTTTTTGTAGGAATTTCCTTCTTACCACCCTTTCTGCCCATCCATGTGCTGTTTCAGTTGTATCTGCTATGCAGCCCTCCCTGTTTTCTGTCAAACAATTTTGCATGTACCTATGTTATCATGGCTCTTTTTATTGCACTTTAAGTATATGTGCCTAGACTAGACTGCAAGCTCCTTGAGAGCTGACCCAATAACTCATTTTTATAGCGATATTTATTATTTTTTTAAAAATAACTTTGTTGATTTCAGAGAGAGGAAGGGAGAGGGAGAGGGAGAGTTGAAACATCAATTATGAGAGAGTCATCATTGATCAGCTGCCTCCCACATGCTCCAGACTGGGGATCAAGCCTGCAACCCCTGCATGTGTTCTGACCGGGAATTGAACTGCAAACTCCTGGATCCTAGGTTGATGCTCAACCGCTGAGCCATGCCCGGCTGGGTGCAATATTTATTCTTTATAGTACTGTTACCTGGTACAGAACCTGGCTCATAGTAATTCTTAAATACTAATTGAATGAATGATTGGATGAATGAGTAAAGGGAGAACCAGGAAAGATCGCAAGGTTGGTAGTGAATGAGTGATCCTGCAGAAGTAAGTGTTAGGAACATTATAAAATCCTTCTTAATTTTAAGCTTATTGTGGTGGAGGAAGAGAAGGATAGGAGATTAGAGATAAGAGTAGAAAAACTGAGAAAATAACATTTTTTCTTGCCATTTAAAAATGTTTAAATATATTTGGAGGGTAAGAGTGAAGGAAGGCAAAAGTAAAAGAGAGAGTGAAGGGTGAAGGAAAGCCAAACCATTAGCCCACACATTCCCTAAACTTACTAATATTTTGGGCACTTTTGGTGTGGTTATATATTAAAATATATACTATAAATTTAGAATGAGTTTGTTGTTTTTAGCATATAAATGTGTCATAATTTATCGAATTAGTTTCTTATTGGATAGTAGGTGATTTATAATTTTTGCCATTATAAACCATATAAAATAACCTTGTGATGAAAATCTCTGTAAATAAACTTGATATCTCCCTTTGTCTTTTTTAGTCTGTTGGCTCTGAAAACTTGTTATAACTAAATGTTAGTTTATTCAGGGTGATCAAGCTCTTAAATGAATTTGATTTGCTTTTGAATTCCAGTTTAATAATTTTGAAAGTTTAGCTAGTTAGGTGACAGCATTTCCTTTTATATCGGTAAACTTCTTTGGGAAAATTATCTAAGAATAGAATTTTTTTGGTGAGGACTAGACTGAAACTGGTAAACATGCAGAGTGATGTACTGAATCACCCTAGCA